GGCTTTGGAACCATTCTGCGGAAAGACAAAAAAATCAGGAGGTGACTTTCAAAGCCTCGGAGACAATAAACAGGTTTAAAACTGCTCACATCTTGGCAGCGCTGTGGTAATCTGCATGGCTTTCTCCTACGTATACAAAATAAGACATAAATTATAGCCCAGGGAATCACAGACCGGCAAGTGAAAACAAACAACGTACAATTCACGCAGACGAGGGCTCCCTGAAACTGCCGACGTGAGGATTAATCTCAGTATTCAAAAAACATATTATGGAAACTGCACACGGGCTTGAAAAACAGCATCATAAACCAAACGCGGGTTCTGTCCGTGTGGACGCTGGTCATCTCGTCTACGCAGGGGATTGCCATCGCGAGCGGACTTCTGGAGCCTGGTCCCCTTTCCCTGGAGGTTAATTTTTTTCATCTAACAGTGTACAAGAGTCTTTAACAAAATCATGGAGAAGACGGCTGATGATTTATTTTCCTCTAAGTTGTAAAGGAGCCCAGCTAAAAGGGGGTGATGTCACTTGAATTGAGTCCAGGCTTCAGAGCTTCACAAATACCCCAGGTTCTTAAATTATACCTCAATTTCTTTAGTACCCTAAAAATTGACACCCTTTTTCAGGGTAGCCTAATTTATCTTTATATATGAACGTTTGTAATGTTCCAAGTTTGCAGAATTTTAGCTGAATTGTAATAAAAACACCTATCTTGTAACTTGTACCTTAATTTTTCAAAATGACACACTTTTTGTTACCAAGTACTCAAAACTCGGTTTAGAAATGAACTGTCCTTGAGCCTGAATACCTGATGGGTTTTTGAAATATGGTGCAAGAAGTTTCTAGTTTGTCACCCAAATTGCATGTCAGACCACAGAACGTTTTGTCAAGCGTGGGCACCGCTCAATCATCATCTGAGCCGGACCTCAAAGCCTTCACGATTCAATTTTCCTTACAATTAAGAACGCAGGGCTGTGGGGGCAGCCCGAGGGCTGGAGACCGTCTCCCTCCGGCCAGGCCTCGGGCAGGACGAGAGACAGCAACGTGTTCTCTCCTTTACACCCGTGTCCTCTCTGCCCTTCACCCGCAGGGCCGCCGCCCTCTGGGGCCCACGGGGCTGGGCCCGTCCCAGCGCATCCTGGGAGAGGGCAGTGCCCACGCGGGTTGCTGAGCTGGGCCGGTGGCTCAGCTGCAGGGAACATGGAGCCACGGCTCCTCTCCCTCCTGCCATCTGCGGCCGTCTCACGGGGACTTTGGCCAACCCGAGATCGTTTCTTACGAACAGAACAAGCCAACCTTCGATTATCATTAGATGCGGGATAAATCAGAACAGACAGTCTCTGCCAGAAAACCATCCTGAGAAACCCTGAGTCTCACTTTGGGAGATTCTAAAACAGCAAAAAAGCAAACAGGAGAATCACAGATTCCTGCGAGGAGCGCGATTTAATAAACTGAAACATTAATAAGGAACGTTTTGGACGTAAAATATGCAAATGCCTTATGAATAAAACCGGTTCCCATTGGGTGGCTCCTGATGGCTATTCCTTTTCTGTTAGCCAGCATCCCCGAGGAGGTGCAATGAGACAGAGGCCCTGAGCGTTGGCTGTTGCCCACACTGATGCCCAGGGGGCATTATTGTGCCAGCTGGGGGAATGTGAGGCATAAACTGCAGGTTGAGCAAGATGAAAACTCTCCACTTACTGCAGTTAGTTTAATAATTGTGTTATTTACTATAGTTCAGGGGACAGTTTTTAGTACCTAATTTCATTTGAAATAAATCCTTGAGCTACTGTAAGAGGGCCTTCTCAACTGTTTCTGATAAGAAAAAAAGTTCTCTGTAAAGATTTTAACTCAGATCAAAATCAAATAACCTAAAAAAGAAAACAGATTATTCTACATGGCACTTCAGGTAAATGTCACTTCTCAAAAGCATAAACTACATGTATCTTATAGGCTGGGAAGTAGTAAAACCAATGCCCTCAAGTATAAAAATAAGGACCATGGTCATTTAGTACTTTGAAGGGCACCGTGGTCTGAATGTTTGTGCCACTCCCCCCAAATTCATGTGTTGAAACCTAATCCCCACTATGCTGGTATGTGGAGGCGGGCCCTTCGGGATGTGACTAGGTCCAGGGAGTCCTCAGGAGTGGAACTCCTGTCCCTGTAAGAGGGACCCAGAGAGCCCCTGGTCCCCTGCCATGGGTGGCCCTCTGTGACCCCTGTGACCCCGGCTGTGGCCCTCACCAGCCAGTGAGCATGCTGGGCCTTGACCTTGGACTTCCAGCCTCCGGGACCGTGAGGAGTAAGTGTTCGCTGTTTATGAGCCACCTAGGCTATGGCATTTTGTTACAGCAGCACCAACAGACTAAAACAGGCATGATTAAAAAAGCATCGTTCCCTTTCTCTTACGAGAAACCCTGTCTTTTACCTAAACTCTGCTGCCCGATTGTCAGGTGTGAGGGAGGGGCAAGGTTCTCATGGTCGGCGAAGAAACTCCATTAGCAGGGGTGCTCACAGGGGAGTGCTGATGACCCAGGGTGGTCGCTTTGAAAAGTTAGGCTGTGGGACTCAGGAATAACACCCAGAGAGTGGGACTCCTGGGTTGGCTTTAGCCTATGTGTGTGCAAATAGAAAAAATACATTCCCCAACACACGTACAAACACAGGGTCTTTACTGTCTAAGGTATCAAGGGTAAAATATAAAATGAAACTCACACAGAAGATTTAAAGTCTTACGTCATATCCAAAGTGGAATTAATTTCACTAATGGAGAAAATCCTATTGATTTTCCCCCTTTTAATCTCCAGCATATACTCTGAATCGACTAAAACATTCTTTTTATAAAGTAAGATGCCTTTCAGAACCAATGCTATGTTCCTTCCCACGATGACACCAATTACTGTAAAACTGAATTAGGTTCAGACTGCTCTGTGCGGAGGCCACGTTCCTATTTGTTCTCTTAAACACCAAGGTTAAATTGTGCTGCTGTTTCAAATGAGCTGGTTAGATTAGCTTTAGGTACATAAATATTAATTAAGAATACATTAGAAATCCTGCTCTGTTGAATTTTAAGTATGTGGATATTTATACGAGTGACAGAAATTAAACTTTTTAATGAGAATGTAATATACAGCGTATAAAATACGGCCCAAAATTCAAAATACCTTGTCCCCGTTACTAACATTATACAAGTTCTTAAGCTTGTATATCTTTCTGGATTACTAAATCTTTTATTAAAACCTAGAGAGCCTCCTTTTTAAGTAATGCTTTCTCCCGTCTCCCCCAACTCAGGGAAAGATGGGGTCGTGCCCACAAATTCTAAGGAGCAACATTTCACCGCTACCTGGAGGGAAAACGAAACAGGCAACGGTTTGCAGCCCCTTCCCGCAGCTCATCCAACGAGGTGCCCGCTCTGTGTCGGGCCTGTGGGCTCCCTTCCACCTGCTGAGGCCCTGACCTCGGCCGTGGCCTCTGCTGCCTGAGGCCCTCGCCCCCCAAGGTCAGCGTCTACAGTTTACAAAATATCCTCTCGGAAGTCCAGCTTCTCGGAATGTTTGGCACATAAACTTTTCCCCTGTGTTGTCAGCACAGCCATTCTTTCACAAGCACGTGTCTGTAGTTCAATCCGACCTGTACGTGGCGTGAACGGGAGGGTTTGGGGACATCAGGTCACGGAGCCGTCAGAACCAGAGCTGCATTTTCACCTGATTTATACGAATCCCACGCATTGAAATCTAAGGCAAGTTGGATACATGACAAGCAGCAGCCACGGTTTTCAACTCACTAAACACAGTTTCCCCCTCTGACCGATCTGAGGCTGAATCTCACAGACGCAAAACTGGCGGAATCCTGCCAATTAACATCAGGGTACAGGAGGGGCAGCCAGACTGTCCGTGACCGAAGGGGGTTTTCGGAGAACCTCCCGTTACTGTGAAGGCCACAGCGTTACACATTCCAGAGGGTAGGGACCCACTGCTGTTCCTGAAGGTAATCAGGTCTGCATCTGTGTGTGCCAGGACATACGCATACTGCATTTGTACGCATGCACAAATAGATAATTGTACCTAAGAATCCTCGCCTACAAAATATATCACTTCGATTTTATCCCAGCAGCAAACTGACAGGGCCATATTATGCACCTGCTGTGAGTGACACGTGAGTCATTGTTTTCCTCAGGGTTCGCATTAACAGAAGTCTGTTCGTGGTCCCCAGCCCTAGCTGGATGGGGAATGGCTGTCACCACCGCTCGCTGCAGTCTCGGGATCTGCAGGCTCGGGATCCGCGGTCGCCTGCAGGCTGGGGACAGGAGGCTCGTCTGATGATCCGAGCTCAAGACCGCACCTGTTGCTACTGACAGACTTGGTTCCTCCGAGAAGATGAGCTGCCAGCTGGCTGTGACAGTTTGTGAACTAACAATGACATTCGCGCTGGCACCGGAACCGTGTTTATGGCTCAGAAAATATATACGCTCGGGTTATGATGGACCCGGGGAATTTTGAGGTAAAAAGTCTAACATTTGACAAATTACAAACATGACCGTAATAATAAAATTGTTTTAAAATAACTTCAGTGCTCAGAGTCTCTTTCAAGAAACATCTGCTCCATATGAAACACAGGGCGTCTGTTTGTGCCCCAAAAGGGGCTGCACAGAACAGGGTGGTGACCCACTCGTGCAGCTGGTCACCCGACTAACTGCGTAGCGCCGGTGTCAGGAAACTGCTAAGGGCAGGCGGGGAGACCAGGCGAGAGCCTGACTCTGAGGGACACGGGACATATGAGTATAAAACATCACGGAGTCAGGAAAAACATTCACGCTGTGTCTTTGCCACAGCGTGAATTTTTGGGAATGTTAAAAACGCTTTTGAATCTCGCAACACTTTTGGCGAATGTTATCTGATGGGAGAAAAGTCAGTAGCATGTTTGTCTTTAAGGTAATTTCCTAGTGACCATGGAAGACGGGAAGATGCCGCCAATGAAAGAATGGATGTGACCAGGTACTTACTGCGCTTGTCCCAGGGCAGCCTGGAGACTGGCATTCCCCACTCATCCGGTTTGGGGTTAAGACATCTTCCCAGCAGGACGGGCCCTTTGAAAAAAGCAAACAAACACATCCTTGGTGCACGAATTGCCATGTAAATGTCCTCCCTAATACAATCTGCAAAATCTACTGATATTATAAATGACGATGAAATTATTGTGTGTCCCAGTGACTTTCAAAGTATGGTCCAGAGATCTTGGGCATCCTCAAGTGACCCTTCTTGGGGGTCCAGTAAGTCAGGACCATTTTCATAAATGTCCTAAAATGGCATTTGGCACATTTGCTCCAAACACGTAGCTTACTTACATGTGGTAATCTCCCAACCACAGTTGAATTGCTTAAAAACTTAATTTTCTTAATTTGCTATGCTTATCCTGATAATAGAAACTGGTGCCCGAGTGAATTTATGCCATTACGAAGCAGATTTAACTTTGCTTCTTTCTAGTTTTAGGGATTTTAAGAAGTTAACTGGGTAATCGTAGCAGACCATGTTTCATTATTTCCATGGTTAAAGCATCTACAATTAGGAGTAAGAATGGTCTCCAGACGACCCGACTAGAAAGGGCTGCAAGTCCCCGGCAGCTGAAGGAGTCATGGATGACAGCATGTCAAGGAGAGGCTCCCCCAGAGCTGTATTTCATCTGTCAAAGGTAGAGAATTGGAGAAACACGTCTGAAAAAATGCCAGAATATTTATGTGAAATACACATCATCCTGAAGAACCACTTGGCTGCTTTTTAGAAAACATCCTCCCTTTTATGCCCGGTGTTGGTTACAACCAAGAAAAACAAGTAGATTTCTTGAACATCGAGGAGAGGAGTGAGCTAACTCTGGCCTGCAGGCCAGCTCGGGCCTCGGGTTTGCTTCGGTGCCGCCCACACACGAAAGATGGCTTGGCGTTTGGAAATGGTTGAAAAGCGTAAGTAGGAGAAGAGTTTCGTGGTAGATGAACAGTAAATGACACTCAGGTTTCTGCGTCCACGATGAAGCCTATGGAGCCTGGCTGTGGAATTCACATACGTATCGTATTATCTGTGCTGCTTGTCAAGCCACAAGGGCAGGACTGAATTTCAACACAGAGGGTGGAGCTCTCAAGGTCTAAAATATTTACTGTCTGGCCCTTAATGGAAAGTGTTCGCCAATCCTTGATCTACAGTAAATTACTTTTTAAAAAACTGTGACAGCATTTTGGCCACCACATAATCTCATTAGTCTGAAGGAGTAGCTGTGTCCTGGGTCTCAAGTGAGAAATTACTTCAATTAAAAGCTCAGAGCTGTTGACCCATGAAATCTGAGGAGGTGAGGTTAGAAGGCAGTGATTCAGGTTGTTTGCATCAGTAAGAGAGGGGAAATTACAACTAGAGATGACATTGGGGGAGTTTCCTGACTGATACAACCACCAACTGAAAATCACCAACTAGGATGCTGTTTAAATACCTCCATAAGATGCATGTAAATCAGAAATTCAGGAAAATGACTCAGTGGCATGGCCCAGATTTCTGGAAGGACTTTTTGTTTAAGCTGAGACCTGAGGAATTAGTAGAAGTCACACAAGAAGAAGAAAGTGCCACAACAGAAAGAAGAATTTAATCAGGGGAAACAGGACCATGTACCTTCAAGCCCTGGATTGGCTTCTGGGGTATATACCCCCAACAAGATGATATGGAAAATTGATTCATAAATAGTTCATTTCTTCTGTACAGCATCCTAAATATCTTAATCTATGCTACTATAACCAGAACCAAGGTTTGGCTGTCTGTGGTCAAGAAAGTCAAACACATGAGACAGATGCTGGTGAAAAAGGAAAGAGGTTTATTCAAGTGCTGGTAACCTGAGGATTTGGGGGACTCTTGTCGCAAAGCCCATCTTAACATCTCAGTGCAGGCAGAGGTTTCCATAAGGAGGGAGAGGGGAAGCAGAAGAAAGAGATCAAGGGGAGGGGGATTGAAAAGTTCTCTACGTGCAGCTAGCACAGTCCATTTTGATAAGGATCTGAAAATTGGCCAAATGAAGGCCTACTGTGTGTCATCCTGGTCTTAATCATCATGGTTTTATGTATTTCTGGTTTTAAGGTTGAAGGTCAGCAATTCTCCTAGAGCTGGGAGGACTAAAGGTCGGAGTCTGTATCTTCTGAAGCTAGTTCCTAGGATTCTTATACAACACGCTGTTTATCTATAAGCTACATATTAATTAGAGTCAGCATTTGCAGAAACAATGTCAAAAGAATGGCGGGGTGGGTTATAAGTCCCCACTGTTATGCTGTTGCAAGAGTGCTTAATAATATGATTCAATTGAATATACAGTTAAATGTAATATTATGCAAAGTACTGATTTCAAAGCAATAAGGATGCTAAGATGATAAACAATGTCTTCCTACTTTTGAATCGGATGGACTGAGTTGCAAATCTAATGGACATTACCAGCTACTCCCACATTACACATAAGAAACAAATGTTCTGATTAGTTGAGTAACTTCCCCATCATTGCATGGCTGGTTAATGTCAATTTCAGTCCATCTAATTCAAAAGAATGAAGACATTGTTCATCATCCTAGCATCCTCAGATCTAAGTTCCAGACATAACTTCATTAGAGTTTAGGCTAATCAATTTAACTACCTTATGCCTCCCTTTCTTATCTGTACATTGTGGGTAGTAAGAACTCAGGGTCTAATAAGATAAGGAATGAGCTAATTGATGAGAAAGCCCGTTATAAACTGGAAGACGCTACAGGGACACTAGTCCGTGAAGAGACAACGGAGCTGTGCGTATCCCTGGATTCATACATTTTCCCACTTTAGATAGCCCCCAGTATAACGCCGCTTCCAGGCAGGAGGATGCTTCATGCATAATGATGCGGCTGCTGCCGGCTTCAGCAATTAACAGACCAAGCACTTACGCCTGTATCGATTACCTGATGCTGCCCAGTTCACTCAACAGCTGTTTAAACAGGACATCTCAGCTGGCCTTGAAGATTTTCCCCAAACACTGGGCTATCTCCGCAGCTTATCACACATAATTTGGCATAAAACAGATTTCCTTCCACTACTAAAGCGTGCTTCATATAATAAAAAGCACGCATTTCATAATCTAATACTCGATAACACACTTTTCCCTTACAAGAAAATTATTAAAGAGAGGAACATCACATCTCTTAAAATCTGCATTATCGTAAGTGGAACAACTCCTGGTCCACTGCCCTAGGCTCTGTGGGTTTAGACAAAGTCAATCGCTGTCATTATTTACTAAGAGTCCCTCCACGCAGGGTGCCTTTGTGCTAAACACGTTAAATGTCAAACAGCGGTGTATTCCTCCAGGATGCCCAGTTACCCAACTGTTTGTAGACCACAAGAGGCCTTCAATTACGTGACTGAGTGTTGACAGCTCTCCTGTGGGCACATCACACTGAGAGGAGATTCAAACAGCAGTGCTTTTTTTTTGGGTCCTGTTTCATAGACTTTAAACAATGGAGACAAATGAAGACTTAGAGTGATTCACTCTCATGCACTCTTAGCAGATTTAATTTAGGGGAACCATATGATTATCTGCATCTGCTCGAGCGCTGTTTGCTAAGAATAATCTTGCATGGAGTGAATTTGCCACCACGGCTCAGATTAGAGGTGGTTCCAGGCAGTGTGATGTGCTTCTAACTGTCGAGATGGTGGCTCTCATTTCAATTCAAGGCATGTAAATCTGTTTGAATAACAACACTGATGACCATGTAAAGCTTCGTGGTTGTCGCAGCTGGCCCTGTGTCCTGTTGGTTACGACTGGACTGGATTAGGCTTATTAAGGGAGATAAGGAGTTTATTAGATTCCGAGCGAAGGCCCAGAGACCATCAGCATCACATGAGCATTATCATTTCGTTCTCAAAATAAGACTCTGTGGACAACACAGGGCATTGTGGTGTGTACAATCCTACTCTAACCCCCCAGCTGGCACTGGACTCAATTGGCCACCTTTCTTCAAGGAAGACAAAGGGTGAAATGATACAGTAAAATGGTTAAAACCCTAAAGAGGCCATAACTCAGTTTGTCTGTTGCATCCATGCAATTAATTGTCCATGAAGATGTATCAGTAGGGGTCACTGTCCTGGCCAGTCCACAGAGCCTACACATTGTGCTTGTAGGACCTTAAATGGGCAACTGGCTAGACAAGAAGTGGGCAGAGAGCAGGAGGGAAATCACCTCTCCTGGGTCCTCAGGGGCAAAGCACTGGGATGGGCTCCTGCAGTCGGCCCTGAACAGGGGCTTCTCTCTGCGCCTTAAACGTGCTGGTGCTCTTCTGCATTTATGAGGCTCCCTTACTCCCGTGACCAGGCGTCCCCACTGGATGCCAGCCCATGGGTCAGGGTGCTTATGCTTGCCCCTTCCTGACCTAGGGCGACAGAGCTGAGGAGAGAAAGGGCTTCTTCACTGTCATCATCATCATGGGCGTCTACAAAGACCAAAAAACCAAAAAAGATTGCTGGCCGAAAGGAAAGGCAGTCTGACCTTGGATACGTACGCTGGCAAAGTCATTTATTTTTTTTTAACACAGTCCAGTTTAATAAGCACTGAGCACTGTTCAAGTTTATATCTTTTCCTCTGGGCCTTTCATTTCAAGATACTTCTACCGTGTCTTTCCCTGCCTCTCCTTTTCCTGTGCCTTTCTCCCCGGGCTCCGTTATGATCAAGAGCCAGTCGCCCCTAAGATTCACTCCTGCCCACTGACTTACGGCCCGATGAGAGAGGAGAGGAAAAGTCTTAACCCTTCATTAAAACCAACTAAATGCGTAGTTATCCCAACTTTCTTAGGACAAATCCAGCTGGCTAAAGTTCACACCAAAACTGCCCCCCCACACCTTTGTGTAAGAATCCCCCCAGTTGCAGTTTATTATTTTTCCTCCCCTTTAGCTCAACATTTTTGACTTAATAAAACTAACCCCTCTAATGCTCCCTTCTCTCTGTTTGTATTTCTGTCATCAAGTGAAGTGGGAAAGACCCTTGTTGAGGAACCAAGTATATCTTGGTTATAAACATTATAAACATTCTAATTCTCAATTTTCTTAA